CACAAGTAACTGTGAGTCAAATGCGAATACGGGGTTAGTCGATATCGCGGTTTGCGTTCAAACCACATCAAAGCGTGTGATCTCTTCAGAACTGGGATAGACGGGGAAACAGTCATTTATTCAAAAGCGTTCAGTCTGATCCACGGTTTCTGATGGGATATCGGGAACCAAAAGACCTGACTACATTCAGGTATCCAATTCGAGTTGACTGACTGGCCTCATTATTGCGCCGACGCTTGACCACTTCCACAATAGACCTGATACGCAAAAAAACATGTTCGGTCTGTCTGTTCCCATCAGCATCCTCGGACGTAATAATCTCATCGCCATTTGAAAACACTTTAAAGGCAGTTGGTTTCGAATCACGACGACAGAAAAGTTGATAGATGATCCGGTTGATGCAGCCGAGAATCGGGGCAACAGAAGATAAACGGTCGTTCTCCCTCCCTCCCCCCCTCCCCCGGGAGCGGGGTAGCATTTTTTTTCCCCTGCTCTAATCGATCTACCCCACTTTGCTCCGGAACGTATACGTAGTTGGCAAGGGCGCTTGTTTTATCCCTCACGCGAAAAATGTCGAATTCTATGTGGCGCGTTTGATATGTGCGCGCTTAACGATGCGATTGCGTGCACTAGAGCCCGAGGGTGTTCTTGCCAGGGGGTCGTTCAAATTGGTCAAAATCAAATAACAATATAAAGGCGCATGAAACGGTAAGACAAGATTACACAGAGAGCAGGGAATTTAACCCAAATGTATGACCCTCATGTACAAGTTAGTTGTCGTGTTCGTCGTGTTTTGTAAAAAGAAAAAACATACAATTGTTGTTCTTGTTGCGGTGGCTCACGGGATTAGGAGTGAGAAGTAGGTACAGCTGAAAGCGACAAGGGTGTTGCACACACACACACACACACGCACACTGATAGTGAAGGAAGAAAGACAGTATATTTTGCTTATCAAACCCAGTTCAAGAGAAGGGAAACCGATAGGTCCGCTGACGCTAATGTTCTATCGGTCGTGAACAATCATCGCATCTGAGACCTCGGACGCATCGGACCCGAAACATAAACGCTGAGTTGAACACGCTTGACGAACGACACAGATCGCCATCGAAATAGTGTATGCCTGACGTGTGAGCTTTTCTGTTGAGAATGACTAGGGTTCATGACACACTTCCTTGAGCTCGCACTGAAATACGCTGTCTCTCGTGTGTCTATCTGTTCACCCCTTGACAGAGGAGAGTAAACAGAGGGGACAGACTCTGTGAGCGCGAAAAAAGGACCAGGTGCAGAAGCACGATATTCAGCTGCATTACATAGTGCAATTCTGAGGTTGGGTGTAGAGTTTTAGGTAATTGCAGTCGCCCAATGGGGCAAGTAGTCGATCTCCATAGATTACGTTGGTTGGGGTCCGTGTTGCGCATTTGACCAAATAGGTTCCCACAGCGAGCGATGTTAGCGGAGGTAAGTAGTGGGTGGAACAAAGCCAATAGTGGTCAAACTAAGATCCGGCAAGTGAGTACGAGAATCCTAACCAGCAAACTCGGTCACATAGGTCTCGTTAAGTACCCTGGATGGGGACCCCGAGGTGATTTTTATCCCGTACCCGCAGTGTGGGCGCGCATACAAAAGGCTTGGCTGGCATTTGCCAAAGCAAGANCCGTCTAGTAATGCTGAGGTCAGGCGTAGACTTTTAGGTAACCGCGGTCGTCCAGTAGAATAAGTAGTCGACCTCCATAGATTACGTTGGTTCGTGTGTCCTTGTGGACAGTTTTCTCCCAGTTTGTCCGATATGGTGTTTTGAGCAGTTCTTGCAATTTATTTTGTAGATAACACTGCTCCTGTCCTTCTTCATTGTTTTCTCCTTTGGTTTTGACAGAATTCTCCTTAGACAGGCGGTAGGTCTGTGGGTAACTTGGAGTTCATATGATCTAAGCAGAATCCGTGAACACCAAGCGGCAGTCAGGAGACATGACCCACTATCTTTGATTTCCCTCTACGAAGATCAAGAATGACTTCAGTTTGACTTCGCTTTAGTGAAAATTATCGACCAAGCCCGGTCAAAACACGCCAGGGAATTTCTCGGAGCTTGGCACTCCTCAATCAACTCAATCAACAGGCGCATTGAGCTGGATCACGTGTACACGCGAATGCAACTCAAGGATCAAATGACGCAACAAAAAGAGGTCACACCGTGATCTGAGAACGGACCGAAACCGCAATCACGA